GTGTAATCAAGGCGGGTTTGCATGCGTCTAGTTACAAATTTTTCCTCGCTCAAGCCACACAGCTCTTCTGAGAATCTAGTCAGCGAATTAGTTAAACAGGATGGGCGACAAATTTCAACTTTGTCAGTCGCCAGACTGAATACCGAATGATCAGGCGCGATTTTTGTGAATGAGGATGCGGGAGTGGATTTTGCTCACGTTATTACATTTTTTAACAACGCTTGACCATCACGCGAAACAGAGACTCAATGAGCACAATTTAGTGCCATTATCGCCTGATGGTGAAGTTCAAGTTTGCGCCAGTCACGCACACGTTGGAGGAAGTGGACAGTCAGACGAGCGTGCGCCTGCTATGTGGTCAAGACCTTCAAATGTTAGGTCTCCCCAGACTTTTCAAATTTCGTGTAAGTTAGATGAGCTGTTCAACGGTGATTACAGAACTTTCGCGTGGAATCTTTGCTTACATTCCTAACACTACTCGCCGCATATCGTCATGTGTGACACACTTCTTCCTGCCAGACTTAGAATAGCAGACAGGCGTTCCTGCCAGGCTATGCGAAGTTACTAAACTCATTTCGTAAGGTTCACCCGAAAATTTCGCCTGTGCTAGTTTTTCCGACTGCTGTCTTTCTACGCAATTGGTTTTTAACCTATATGGCTTCGTAGCTCCTATGCCTGTACTAACAAAAAATATTGTTAATTTAGTTGTCTTCGTTGACGTCAGTTATTTTAGTGCCGTCATGTTTTTTGAGCTATGGGATCGTGGATAGATGTAACATTTATCTCTAGTGTGACGCATGTAGTTTGCGACCGTGGCGGGAATCAAACTATTTGAAATAAACCGGATTTCCGTATCGCTCCCCGAATTTGAAAAAGGATGGTATCTGTGCATTCCCCTAAGGGCGTTATCTACTTTTTATTTTTTAATGAGCTGAGCAGAGATTTTTGCTTCTGGCGGAGGGTAAATTTGAATAGCAATCATATAGGGACTAAATTTTGAATACCATCACTTAAGAGGAAACTTCCTAATTTTCTATAAATTGAAACAGTGACGGGTGCGCTAATTTGGCTCAGTGGTCACTTTACTTAGTTCAAACTAAATTTCAAATCGGTTTAATGAGATTCGAGGCAACTTGTACTAAACTGTGCGTAACATGGCAGGCCGCCGGTGTCTTAAGCCATCGAGGAATGTGCTGTGTTTTTTTGACCTTTCAGCGAACCGTTCACCAATCATCGGGCAACTTTCTCGCACCAGTAACGAGGTACTACTGTAGCATTTATTTTCTACGCACTCTTGGCGCATTATCAACAAACACAGTGCACAAGATTCACTATTCCTGGCGTATTTGCTGTCATCAGAAAGTATGCACCGCGGCGCATTTCAGGTTCAAGCTTGCTGCACTGACAGTCAGACCTCGCCTGCTGTGGCTCTTTTGGTTGTGCCCAGAAGCATTTATTGTGGCATCTTCTCCGCACATGGCGGTTTGAAAATGAGTTTGAAATGAATATTCCACTCCTAATTACTGCTACTCGATTAGTGCTTGTTGTTCGTAATGCGATTGTGTGTGGGGGGAATGCCAACCTCCGGTACTGCGACCCGAATTCAAGTGCGGTTGCCTTTTTCTTTGCCCTATGTAACTTCTTATACTCAGTTACCGCCGATTTCTCTCTCTCGCGCGTGCGTGATAGCACTCTCATTACCTGCATAGACCTA